TGTGAATCAGACGTACTGTAAACAGGTTCTTTTCACAAGAAAAAAATAATGTTGGGTGGGGCAGGGTGGAGAAGCGTTCCTGCAAGTGTCCCAGGGCAGCCACTGGACAGTGGTCCTTGGGCCACACCAATGGGCTGCAGCCAGCGGGATCACAGCCTGTCCTAGGCTGGTAGAGTGGGATACCCGCTCGCACCTACTTGAGAACAGGCTGAAATGCATATCCCTTTGGGCCAAAGGCAGCAGTGGGACCCCTGGGGCGGGGGTTGCCTGGGGTGGCCAGGGCCCTAAACTTGAGGCTGGGGCAATGTCTCTGGCACCACTTGCAGCCTCTCCCCCATGGTCGCAGGTTTCTGTGAACACAAAGACAAAGCCTCGCTTTGTAGCACACGGCATCCAGGGGGCTTGCAGCCAGAAATGGAAACTGCGGCTTTTCCATTAAGTGTAACCTCTCCCCCTTCAACCGGCCACCAGACTCCCTCAAATGTGGAGAGGTGGGAGGAGCTGTAAAACCCCTGCCCATTAAATTGCTTATTAGTTGCAGATTTCCAAGCATGTAGGCAAGTATTTTGAGACTGCATGTCTCCTACTGTCCCCTCAACCACAGTTTGGGGTATTTAACCACGTTGTGCTGAAAAAAGGGCAGGACCCCCACTTCCAAGTGTGAGAAAACGGTTTCCTTGCTTTTCCCCAAGTCTTACTCTAAAAAAAAGAAAAATACACAGACATAACCCTCCTCAAGCTCAAACTGTCTTTCAAGTTGGTGCTTATCTTTTTAAAGGGCATTCTACCCATGACCCAGCTTCAGTCTATCCACACAACACCCCCTCCCTCAAAGCCTGACCTGAAACAAGCTGAGCTCTTTAAGTTCCTAAACTAGAGAAGGGAAAGGAGAGAGGGAGGGAGGCTGGTTTTCCTGGAACCCTTATTAAATCAACTTTCCAAAGACAGCCAGAAACTCCAGGCCCTCCCCACTCCCTCAGGAGCATTTGCAGACTGGGGGAGGGGTTCCCAACACGCGCGCATGGGGCGCGCGCGCGCACACACACACTCACTCACTCACTCATTCACAGCAAAGCCTTTCTACAGGGGAAAAGCTCTCAGTGTGAGCAGGGTTTTGGATAGTTTGCTTTAAAGTTTTGCACAAACTTTTTATACACAGATTATACTCTTTTCTGAGGACAACAGCAGCATTATTATTTAACAATCAGAAGGGCCAAGGCCACATACCAATACTTTACGTTAATTTGTGAGACACCATCTAGTTTACAAAGCATGGAGAAAGACTGTCCCTTGTGACTTCAGGGCAGTTCTCTGAAGGCCGAGGGGCACGTGCTCTGCTATCACAAAGCTCAGGAAGGACAAGTTACATGAAAGGGCCGCGCCGAGAGAGGGACTGGACTTACGCAACCAAACAGGGACCTGTTCTCCGAGTCCAGTGGATTTCCACTTTTGTGTCCTCAGGCATTCCAAGTCCACCCATGAAACAAGCCCCCCACCATGTGCTGTCCTCTGTAGGGTCCCAGGAAACGGTACCCACAACGGCCATTTATTGCTTATTGACTCTGTACTAGGCACTGTTCTAGGAGCTTTGTATACGATCTCATTTAATATTGACTATGATGTCAGGAACAGATGTTCATTATCAGTGTAAGTTATACAGGCGCAAAGAAGAACTTTCCCAAGAGCCGATGGTCAGGAAGAACAGCCACAATACAAACCAAGGCAGTTCAGAGAAAACGTATGCCCACACAAAGACTCATACACAAAAGTTCACAGCAGTTTTAGTAATAGTAGCCCAAACTGTTAACAACCTAAAAGGCCAGCAACAGGTGGATGAATACACATTCACCATATAATTCTATTCTATGAAATTGTAGACTAGGCAAAGGTAACCTGTAACGACAGAAAGTGGATCAGTGGTTGCCTGGGGTCCCTACTGCAAAGAGGCCTGATGGAAGTTTTGAGGGCGATGAAAATGTTCCATATCTTGATGGGGCTGGTAGTTACATTTATCAAAACACATCAAATTCCACAGTTAAAATGGTCTATTTTACAGAATGTAAATTATACCTCAATTAAGTTGATTTTTTAAAAAATGGCAGCCTGACTTCAGTCTTTACTGCTCGCTGCATAGCCTCCTAATGCCCTCTCCACCTCTCCTATTCCCTCCTTCTTGTTCATGGGACCTGTACTTTGTCCTCATCAGGACCTTCAGCACCCAGGCTCCATCCTCCACCACTGCCCCGAATTCCTTTCCCTGTTTGGACCTACAGCCAGCAGCTTCAATACCCCCACCACCACCTCTACCACCACCACCACCCCTAAAATGCCAATGCCTGTACCCTCAGACATCCCCTTCCTGTTTGTAAGTCCCCAGGCCTGAGAGACATACTGGTCACTTTTCCTACCCTCCATTTTTGGGCTGCATGAGAGTTCTGTTTTTGTTTTTGTTTTTAAAGTACTTCAGGGTCCGTTGTAAATTCTTATTCTCAAAACTCACCCATGCCTTTGGACTCTCTTATCACAAATCTCTACTCCTCGCAACCCTCCCATCCTAACTTACTGCCCTCCTCTCATCTTGTCTGTGTCTCTGGTCACCCGAAGCTGACATCAACCTACTTAAACCCACCCACAGATTCCATCTCTATAGTGTCACCACTGTTTGCTCCTTCCTTTACAACTTCAGGGCCTCCTCCCTAGTTCATACCCTTACTTCCTTTAGCTAGACATTAAAAATAGATGTCTAACTCTTTCTGGAGACAGTCGTGGTGGCAGCTACTGACATTTTACATATAAGTGCTTTGTTTGGATTAGCTCACTTAATCCCTTTCTGTTGTCCCCATTTTAAAGATGAGCAAACTGCCCTGGCCGAGTAGCTCTGTTGGTTAGAGCATTGTCCTGAAACCCCAAGGCTATGGGTTCGATCCCCAGTCAGGGCACATACAAGAATCAACCAATGCATGCATAAATAAGTGGAACAACCAATCAATGTTTCTCTGTTTAAAAATCAATAAAGTTTTTAAAAAGATGAGCAAACTAAGGTTTAGTGTGTTTGAATAATTTGTTAAAGCAAGTAACGCAGCTATTAAGTAGAGGAGAAGAATTTAAACAGGTCCGTCTTCTTCCTCCCATCCATCCAAATTCTGCTACCAGCCCTGGCCGGTTTGGCTCAGCAGTTAGAGCGTCGGCCTGCAGACCAGAGAGTCCCTGGTTCGGTTCCCGCTAGGGGCATGTACCTTGGTTGCAGTTTGTCCCCAGCCCCGGTTGGGGTTGTGTACGTGGCAACCAGTCAATGTGTCTCTCTCGTATCGATGTTTCTCTCTCTCTCTGTCTCTCTCTCTCTCTTCCCCCCTCCCCCTCCCGCTCTATCTAAAAGATAAATGCAAAAAAATAAAAAAATTTAAAAAATAAAACAAATTCTGCTACCATATTAATTTTCTAAAAGCTGAATCACATTGCTACTTGCTCAAAACTTTTCAAGATTCCCAGTATCTACCCACTTAAGTACAGTTTCCTTAGCCGGGCATTAGGCCTTCCATGTGCTCATAACGCAATCCAATTTTTCTGAGTATTACTTCCCTTAACTACCTAACCACTCACCAGGTAAATCGTTCTCTGTATACTTTATACTTCCTGCTTCAGTACCTTCACTCATGCTGTTCTACTTAGAATGTCCTTCAGGTCCCCCTTTCAAACCCCTACTCATCCTTTTGAACCCATCTTAGATGCTCTCTGCTCCCCTTGTCCTCTGCATGTCCACTGAATTTTGTTGTAACTCCACTGTGTGCTTAAACATGGTCTACCTTGTATTCATGTAACTCTGTACGACAAGTACAGACAGTGAACTCCCTGTGGGCAGAGATGGTCTCTCCTGCTTTGGGTCTCTGGCATGTTCTAGCTCAGGTCTTGCCTTTAGTTCTGTTACTGAATGCAACATTAATCTGCCTGCTCCAGCTGGTGCACATTCTAGAAAGTCTCACACACTCTTCCCTCCTCCTTCCCCACCACTACAGCAGTGGACAAATATTCTCACTCATCATTTATCATTCAAATAGGTCCTGACAGCTGAGACTGACAGCCCTTTAAATACAGCCACCATGTCCTGGGCACACCTGAGCCTTTTACCCACTGCCTGCCAACCTTCTCTATTTATGTGATCAGCCACTGAATCACAAGCCACAAACTTTGGCAGCAGAAAAGCTCAAATATTAGCTCTTAAAGACCCTCGAAAGCTACCAGGTATGCTGTACCTGTAATCTTCATGATGTATTTTTACAACTCCATCAGCCATTGGGCAAGTCCTTCCTGTTACTAACATAATAAGCTCTCTGTATTTCAAACAAGCCATAGATCTCTCCCAGCTCCCATGCTGCATTATGCTCTCTGGTTCTCAATCTCTTCCAAATCTTCCCAGCATACATACCGAAAGAAACTGCTCAGCAGACCTCCAAACAGGGCCTGAGAGATGTGGTCAAGGAAGGCAAAATGACAAGCACACAGCCATGATTGCCAACACACAGAAGATGTGTCTTTGGAACAATTTTACAAGCCAGAGGTCTTTATCAAGCTCCCACATCCCTCAGTATCCCCTGTAGCCTGATGTTAAGCCCTAAACCCAAATTCATAGGCCATTCACTCTCCATTGCATCACCCAACTCCATCTCATTATTCATCTAGGTTAGGGAGTTGGCTTTTGGATCCCAATCAAAAGTTCTTTTTTCATAAGAGAAAAGCATCAACCCACCCAGAGCATGTTACCTCTGGCAACTGGATGTCACCAGCCTTCATGACCCAACCTCTCATGAAGTTGGTATGTTTATAATCAAACTCTAACCAGCCCAGGTATCTTGGGAGTCTCTCCTACAGGAAAAGAGCCCTTTGCTCCACCTGCGGTAGAACCCTCCCAGTCAACCACATCACCTCCAAACATGTCACCTCTGTCCCAGCTGGCCAGTTTCCGAGGGCCGGAAGTCCAGGCTGACCCTCTGCCAGTGTCTTACCTTGTTCAGGCAAGGTCGGGGCCGGCCTGGCGGTGCAGAGTGTGGCTGTGACCAGCACAGCCCAGAAGAGGAGGCACTTCCAGCTCCACATCCCAGTTCTGCAGTTAGAGGTTGGTGACAAGGCTCCACACCTCCATGGAGACTCTGCCTTGAGCTTGATCCTCCTTTTCAAGCTGACTCTGGGGAAAGAAAGGAATAAAACTTAGGATGGTCTGTCTGGAGGAGGACACGGGGCAAGGAGAAAAAGAAGGTAAAGCAGTCACATAGCCACCCTGTCCAGAAGGGTGCTTGAAGGAATAATTTACTCCTTAAAATACAGTGAAGAGAACTGTGGTCCTGCCCCAATGTTGAATTTGAGTTTATAGGCCTTACTTAGACAAAGGAGTGCTTTAATTCAGTTCCACAACTATTTATTAAGTGTGGGCTGTGACAAGCCTTACTGGGAAAATCGTCATGAGGTTCTGCAAGGCATAAGCGCCAAGATCGTTTGTGCTGGGAAAGCAAAAGGCTTTATGAAAATCCCAAATAGTTCTGCCACTTCCTGGGCAATGGCTTCACAGAGTGTGGTGGGACAGCAGGAGCCTTTAGTATGCGGATGACTTTAGTCTAAGACTTCATTCCCTCCCTGGCAAAACCAACAGTTTGGTGCGGGGTAAAGAGAGATGAAGAGCCTGGCTCAGTTGGTTGCGTGTCATCCTGTGTACTGACAGGTTGATGGTTTGATTCCTGGCCAGGGCACATACCTGGTGGGTTCCATCCCTGGTCAGGGCATGTATGGAAGTCAACCGATCGATGTTTCTCTCTTACATTGATGTTCCTCCCTCTCCCTCTCTTTTTCTCCCCCTTCCTCTCTCTAAGCATGTCCTTGGGTGAAGCTTAAAGAGAGAGAGAGAATGAAGAATCAAGCCAAGAACTAGGAAATGGGAGCCAAGGAAGATGCTGACCCCCTCTGAACCCATGCAACAAGGAAGCTGAATAAAAGTGATCTCCAGGGCCCTTTCTTTTTGTCTCAAGAACTGTATGCATCACAGGGATCTCAGGTTCTATCAGCTTCTTTTAGGCCAGGGAGAGAACACAACTCTCACCAACTCTTTAAAAAGAGCCCCAGAGGTGAGTCCAGTTTTCTTCCCAGATGCTGAAAGGTGACAGCTGAGGTCTGACAGAAGTGAATCCAGAAGTGGGGAAAAGAGGTTGTGCTGAAGAGTCAAAAGGCTCTTGCAAGGACTGACTCAAAGATGGCTCATGTCAGCCCCAATTAAAAGCACAGAATGCAGTCCTTTACCCTCCTCAGGTCTGGAGTGGTAAACCTTAAGACAATCCCCTAGGGTCTCGAGGAACAAGAGGTTGTTGCTGCTAAACACTTACCAAGTGATAAGACTTTCTGGGCACTGTTAGGGCTATGTTGGGGTGACCATCTCCATCTTCCAGGTGGCTTTTGTTCTAAATACTCCAGGGAACCATCCAAGTTATTCAGAGAATCCACTTCCCCGGAACATGCCCTAATGTGGTGCTTCAGCCCTGCCTCCTCTGAGCCAGACAGGGCCCCTGTGAGTGAGTCAGTCTCCGCTGGCAGAGACCCCCCTGGATTCTTGGCTCCGTTCACATGTGCTTGCCAGTGGGAGTACAAATACACTACCACTACCTCTCCAAAGGTTTTCCTAAAATTGTTTAATGATTTCAAATCAAAGGAGAGGTGAACATTTCTCTTTTACTTTTCTGAATTTAGGAAAGGAACTAGAAGAGAGACCAGAAAAAATGTTTGCTGAATACCCACTCCATGCCAAAAGCATGTACTAAGTAGAATCTGTAAGTGTAAAACTTCATATCTTCCTCATTATAAACTTATGGGGGGTAATTATTATCGCCCCCTCTTTTTTATATGTATTTTTTATTTATTGATTTGAGAGAGAGAAGAAGGGAGAGGGGGAGAGAGAGAGAGAAACATTGATGAGCGAGGACATCAACTGGCCGCCTCCTGCCTGCCCCCCCACTGGGGATTGGGCCCACAACCTGAGCATGTACCCTGACTGGGAACTGAACTGGCGACCTCTTGATGCATGGGCCGACACTCAACCACTGAGCCATACTAGCTGAGCTGTTACTCCCCTTTATGCCATGGAGAAACAGACTCAAAGAGGTTAAGAATTTTGCCCAAGGATTTGCAGCTGGTAAGCAACAGCACTGAAACTCTCAGCATCACCCATGTTTTCAGATGCTAGAGAACAAGGTGGGAGGAAGCAAATAAGAGGCTGGTCAAACCTGGCTCTACCTACTCCAAACTCATTTTCTCCAAAGGGCATCTCTGTGCTACAGAGAAACCAAGCAGATAAAGACAGATCTGAGGTAACTCTGGAAATGGGCGAGCCTCAATTCTCAATTCCATTGGTTGAAAAACCCTTGGAAGTAGTTCACAGATGTGCCATCTAGGACATAGGATGGGGCACAATCCCTGGCCTGGGATAGAAGTGATGCTTGCCAGAGGACACCCTAAACCACATTTCACATCTGATTACATCCCAAAGATACACCAAACTGATGCAGGCCTATTACCCCAAAAGATACACCCAACTAAGAACCTAAGTCCCCAGGAACCACCAGAGTAATGAATGGGTTTTTAGTGTCCAGTGGGAAAGGGTGGTATCATCTTGAGATGATTAAGCTTGTTTTCAAATGTAGCAGACAGATATCTTCCACCACCACTTGATCACTCTGTCCCCTGAAAAGCCTGCCCACCTCCTCACAGGTGTGGGTTGGCTGCAGACTGTCCTCTTTCAGCTGTGTGTTCAATGTATTCCAAACTAATTTGGCAGCTTCCCTGCAAAAGTCTCTTCTTCTGCTTTCCCTCTGGGCCTCAAATCCCACATCTATAAAACAAAGGATGTTAAGAAAACTCAGTCTCTGTCTGGCACCAACTCCCGGAATGAGAAGGTATATGGGCACACACACCATTGCAGAAAACACAGTGATACAAACCACTAATCCACACCCTGCCTGAGACCTTAGGGACTGACACCTCCTCCGTCACCTCACCTTCTTCTCATTCTACTAATTAATGAATTCTTAAAATCCCTTAGAAACGGTCTCCTTCTTTCATTGCTGGACAGATGTGACCTGTAGCCTCACAGGTGTACACAGCAGCTTCCTCAGAGACCCTGCAACTGGCTCCACCATCAGTCTCTCCCATATGTCAGGTCTCCTGGGACTGGCAGCCTGGGTGCAGAGGTTCTCACTAGGGAATGGGGGGCAGGGGGCACATACACATACATCTCAGTTTTCCCATTTTTTAGAGGGGCTAAAATATGGTGGTTATAAGGATCAAATGGGCAGCGTGGGTGAAAGTACCTGCTCTCTCCTAAGTACCAATTCAACGTAAAATGAGAGAGTGGCTGGTGAGAAAGCAGGGGCTAGGATATACGACCTTGCATTTCTCTTGAATTCTAAGAATAAAACTTCTATGACCGCCCTGGTCAGTGTGCTCAGTGGTTAGAGCACCGGCCTGTGGACCAATGAGCCTTGGGCTTGATTCTGGTCAAGGGCATGTAGGTCGGTTGGGGTTTGTCCCAGGCCCTGGTAGAGGTCGTGCAGGAGGCAACCAGTTAATGCGTTTCTCTTATGTCGATGTTTCTCTCTCCCAATCTACCTGAAAAAACAAACAAACATTCTATGACCATCAGATCTCCTTGTCCAAAAGTGATGTAAAACTAGCTTATCTTTTTAGTTGCTGTTCTCTGGAAAAAAACAAATTAATTCTTGCCCTTCCATTTATGACCCTGCCACCCTCAGAGAGTCACTAAACTTTTCTGAGCCTCAGTTTCCCACTTGTTGGAGGGGCTAAAATATTTGCCTTGACTACATCACAGGTTAAGAGGATCAAATGGGTAGCATGGGTAAAAGAGCCTGCTCTCTCCTCTTTAAAATCCTAATCAAATATAAGGAATTATAAACACTGCTTTGAGTCACACCTTGATAGCGCTCTCAGGATATTTCGTAATTGGCAGCAGCAGGACAAACTTCCTACCTTTACAAAGGTATTTCTCACTATCCATCTTCAAGCCCCATACTCTAGACCGGCGGCTCTCAACCTGAGGGTCCTGACCCCTTTGGGGGTCGAACGACCCTTTCACAGGGGTCGCCTAAGACATAACAGTAGCAAAATTACAGTTATGAAGTAGCAACAAAAATAATTTTATGGCTGGGGGTCACCACAACATGCGGAACCGTATGAAAGGGTCGCGGCATCAGGAAGGTTGAGAACCACTGCTCTAGACCCAGTTGTCCCATCCGACAGCCACCAGCCACCTGTGGCTATTGAGCAATTAAAACATGGCTAGTGAGAACTGAGGTGTACTAGAAATGAAAAGAACATAGCTTTTGAAAACTAAGTATAAAAAAGTAAAATATCTCAATGATTTTTTAATATTGTATATGGTCAAATTATAATATTTTGACTATATTGGGCTAAGTTAAATGTATTATCAAAAGCTAAACAAATTAATAAAAATTAATTCTGCCTGTTTCTTTTCACTTAATTTCTCACGTGGCTACTAGACAGTCTAAGATTATATGTGGCTTACGTTTTTCTTTCTTTTTTGGTTAACTTTCACTCAAGAATATTTTTTTCCATTGATTTTTAGAAAGTGGAAGGGAGGGAGGAAGAGAGAGAGAGAGAAACAACTGGTCGGTTGTCTCCCACTTGCACCCTGACCGAGGCTGGGGATTGAACCTGCAACCCCGGTCTGTGCCCTTGACTGGGAATGTAACCTGTGACTTTTTGGTGCTTGGGATAATGCTCTAACCACTAAGAAACACCAGCCAGGGCACTCATGTTTTATTTCTATGGGGCAGCACAGCACTAGGCAACCTCCGTACCTTGCCCAAGTATTTTTTTGCCTTTTCCTCCATCTCCAACGAGCCAAGCTTTCATATTCTGAGCCCCACTTCAAAAGCCACAGTCTTTCTTGGGCCTTCCAGCCGAAGATCTCATCCCACTGAATTTCCACAACACCATGGGATCACAAGCTCCCAAAGACCAGGGTCTGTACCTGACTAGCCTTTGTTAATACCCTTAGCACCTAATATGTACACAGCAGATGCTGACACATTTATTAACTGGATGAATAAATGAATAAAAGAAAGAAAGGCTGATTGAAAAGAAGCTGATATAGACATTCTTGCAGAAATGAAGTCGAGAATGCCAGAGAAAAGCAACCGTCAAGTAGCCCTTGTTAGCCAGCCAAGCTCTATTTCAAAATATACCAACTAGGACATTTTGTAAACCTCTCAATTCCTCAGAATTGAAGAAGTAACACTACAGCATTAATTCCGTTAGACAGGAACAAGACTTACTTCTTAACAGAAATGGTCGCTTTTCCCCACTATTGAGAGTGGCAGAGCAAGTACTTACTAAACATCTGAGAAAAAGTTACGCAGCTCAGCTTACAGGAGTTTTAGTTGGTCCGAGGGAAACATTAATTTTAAAATGTTGAGTCCCTGTGAAAAAGCACCTAAATGTCCTTGGGAGTGAGGTATATACTAACTGCTCCACCATAATCTAGGAAACCTCGCTATTGAAGACAGGATGAGCTCGTGGACCACCACCACTATAGTCTTGGAGTTGTTCACCCAGGTGGGGGCTAGTTACTTGGGGACCAAACAGCTCCCATAGCTCCTTTAATTACAAGGGAGAGTAGTGGTAAGGAGAGGATTTCTGGTTTTTGTTTTTAATCCTCACCAGAGGATATTTTTCCATTTATCTTCAGATAGAGTGGGAGGGAGGGGGAGGAAGAGAGAAAAAAAAAATCAACACGAGAGAGACACATTGACTAGTTGCCTCCTGCAAGACCCCGACCAGGGCCAGGGACCAAACTGCAACTGAGGTATGTGCCAGGAATGGAACCCTCGACTCTCTGGTCCAAGGGCCGACATTCTAACTGCTAAGCCAAACCGGCCAGGGCAGGATTTCTGTTTAAGGTAGATGGAGCTTGGGGGGCAGGGGGGGCGGTATCCTAGCCGGAGTCTGGTATTTAATCCTCTCTGGGAGCCCCAGAATCTTCTCTAAAGCTCTACATCTGGACTCACCAGTCTCTGGTGCATTCAGACCTTTTACAAAGCTCTTGGGAAAACAAATGCAAGACAAATTTCCCAAGAGGAAATTAAACTCAAGTGATGTGAGGCCTCTTCAGAACAAGACGTATGAATCAATTCTCTCGACCACCTTTTCCTGCATCAGCAACAGGCTCCAACTTTCCTAGGAATCTTAACTAACAGCCATTTTGATGAAAGAGATTAAAAAATGGAGGCAAGAAAAAAGCGTTCAGAGGAGCTGGCTGTTAAAATCCCAAGCTCACAGGAGCAAATCGCCTGTTTTAGGAGTCTTGTTTCAGGTCAACAACATCCAAAACAAACAAAAACTATACAAATCAAAGCAAAAACCCATGGATTTTCCTTGGTCTCCATGGCCGGAGTCAGCCTACTCAATGCTCAACTCAATCTTCCTGCCCTCTGGAGTCCCCCAGGAAGAAATCCAGCCCAGGCTTCTTCTGGTGCCTGGAGGTATTTACTCTAATCCTCTCCCTCAGGAGGGGTGGACAATAGCACCTGGGAGGCTCCTTCTCTATTCCTGTGCTTTTTGCTTCCTTACTATTCTAAGGGAGCATAAGAGAACTTTCTACATCCTCCATGGCCAGAAGCCAAGATAAAGAAGCACCTAAGACTGTCTACTTGGGAAACAGTAGAAGTAGTGCCCCTTCTGGCCCAAATCCCATTTGTGAAAAATGCTTCCAAGATGGGCATTTCTACAAGCATGATAAAAATAGGCAGTGAAAGCACACATGTCCAAGTGGCTATCCATCTGGATGGCCCTCATTAAAAAGCTGACACTCAGCTATGACTAAGTAAATGCTACAGATATTTCAAGGAGCTGTTCACTGATAAGTATACAACCATCCCAGCTAGAGCCAGGCCCCAGCAGCCTCCTTGTCCCCAAACACCCCCTGCTCCTTAAGGGTCAGCAGCAGCCTGGAACTTCTCCCGAGTGTGGGGGGAAATATGTAAACAAGTCATTAGGTAAGCGGGCCACCAGGACAGCTTGGTCGGCAATGGCTCTCCCCCTCACCCTCAGTCAATGAAAGGAAGAGAGATGACCCAGGCTTGGGGGTAATTAGCCAGACCGAGGCACGTCCCACAGGACTCTGCTACTTAGCTTTTCAACAAGCCTCAGAGAGGAAACCGGGAGCCTGGGCCAACCGGGGAAAATGGCCACTTTCTGCTACACAGTCTCAAATCTAAGGTTCTACAATTTAGATGGTATTCCCAAAAAAGCGCTCCTCCGGAGGTGCAAAGGGCAGGGCACATCTGCGGAGGAAACAAGTCACCTTAATTACCATGTCTAGAGAAAGTGCGATTTCATTACAGCCTCCAAAACTACCGCCCAAAGGAGAAACCAGAGAAGTGTTTTCAATTTGAAAGAGACTGGAAAGGAGAGGGTGAGAGAGACCAACTCTCCCTACCCTCCCGCAACTTTGGACCACAAGGTGCTCAACTACCTCAAAGGACTTCACCAAAAAACCCTTAACAATCCAACCCCCGCTTTAAAAACTGTAGCCGTTATTTAAATAGTAAAATGTCCCACTCTAGTTTCCGGGGCTGCAGTCCAAATAACTCCTTTAAAACAAACAAGGAGCGCCTCTGGCAGCAACAGCTTCCCCCCAACGCCCCCAGCCGCTGCGCTCCGGGCTTGCTCCCAGGAGGGTGGAAAAGGGACGCGCGCGCGACGCCACCGCCGGGTGGCTGGAGACCAGACAGCGGGCTCCGGACAGGGTCAGATGCTCGCGCTGCCCCAGCTGTAACTGAAGGGCCAAGAAGCAATACTTCAGTTCTAGAAACTTCCGCCAGGGCCAGTTCAGGGTCAGACCCATAACCAAAGAGTCCATTTCCAGCAGATGAGCCGTTCGCAAGTGCCAACCCCTAAAACCTTGGCCCCATCTACGATGCCTCTTTTCCGCACAATCTAGAAAGCACCACTACCATCAATCAGATCCTAAATAACTTGGGATCCAGGTTAACTTTTTTCTCCCCAAATCCCAACAACGCCTTAAGAAATGTTAAAGAGGGAGGTGAAAAGGACAGCTTTAATTTGGAGGAGGTGGGGAGGGAGAAGGATGTTAATAACGTGGCTGCGGTGTGCTCATGTGGGGTGAAACAGAACCAGATGCGCCTGCTACATCTGGAAAATGGGGGGAAACCTGTTGGGGGAGAAAGACACCGCAGAAAGTTTTAAAAGGGCTAATAGCTTCTAGGCCCAGAAAGAAGTAGGCTTCACCCCCTCTCCCAAAGGTGTCTGGCTGCCTTCACAGGCAATATGTTCAATGAACTCGATCTACGACGTCAATAAATTCCTCCGCAAAAGAGGGTTCTACTAGCCCCTCTTCTCCCAACCCCAAACACGACGGGAGGGGGGCGGGCATAGGGGTCTGAGCCAGAGAAGCAACATGCATTGCTGCCGAGCGAATCGCATCGGACAAAACCCTCATCCCTTCCCCCACCTCCTAGAACCAGATAGGAACAGAACGTTCCCCTCCCCCAGACCCCAGCGTTGGGCTTAAACATCACCCGCTGGGCGCCCTCCCCTTACCCAAACTTCTGACCCTTTCGGAGATGGACTAAGTAGAAGATCAGCCCCTCTGGAAAAGGAATTCCTTTCTCGCCCCGCTAAAGCAGATTCAGCCATTTGGTGACGACATAGGAGTTAAAACCTATTCGGAGAGAAGCTAACTTAGCCCTCCACATCATTCTTTCTTCCAGCCCCTACACACCCACTCACCCCTAACCCCTACCCCAGACCTTTCAGAGGTGATAAAAGACTAAGAAATACCCCGGATTTTTTGCGTTCCATCCAGAGCTACCTGCTGCATTGGGGTGGATCCCCACGAGTGGACTAAAAAGAGACAGAGTGGAATGCAACACACACACCCCCACCTCACTGCCTACTCCCGCCCTCCTCCCCAGTCCTAGGACGTCGAGGGCCGCCGCCGCCTTCGTCCGGGCCGTCCGTCCCCGGACTTACCGGGGAGCCGCCGCCGCCGCCGCTGCCTCGCCAGTTACTCGGCGCGAGTTGGCGGAAAAGTTGGGCGGCAGGACCAGCGCGGGCAGGGGGCGCAGAAGGCAACGCGAGCGGAGAGAAGGGAGGGGAGACAAAATGGGGGCGCAGAGAGCTGGAGAGGGAGTCGGGAGGTGGAGGGGGGCGGGTAACCAGCGGAGGGAGGCGCCGGACCGACCCGGCTGCGGCAGGGGAAGCGCGCAGCCAGGAGGCTCCAGAGCCGGGGGCCGCTTTGGATGCCAAGCCCGCCCCGGATCTGGGGGCGCCGTGGCTCTTACCTCACTCGGCGCTGCGGTTCCGCCTCTGGAGAGTCCGCCGTGGCTTGTGCGGGCGGGCGAGCGCCCGCGTCCCCAGCTCCGGCCCGTCGCCCCCGGGCTCCTGACGGGGCCGCGAGAGCTCCGCGGCCGGCTCTCGAGTCCCGGTGGCGCTCGGCGCCCGGCGCCTCCAGCCCGGGCGGGAACAATGGAGCCGAAGCTGGTGCCCCGGAGGCGGGGCGGGGGGAGGGCTCCGTCCGCCGCCCGGGGTCTCCAGACCCTGTGGCCCCCCTCTCCAGACCCGGCGGCGGCGCCTCACGCTTCTTGCAGCCCGGGCTCCATCTCCGAGAGGGGGCCCCGGCGCCGCGGCGTGCCCGACTGCAGTACTGGTACCGTGCGCCCTGCGGGGCGCCCCTCGGACCAGAGAAAAGTCCTCAGTCTCCGCTGCTTTCCCGCTGCGGCGCGCGATCACGGCCGGGGAAGGCGAGGTCTCCGCAATGCGCTAAGCAGAGTCTCGGTCCTGTCCGGATGTTGTCGCCCAGCCCCAGACACAGCCGGGTCTCCTCCGCGCGCTGCTACTGCACCAGAGTTCGGTTCCCGCTTGCCGCCGCCGGCTGCCGAGGCCGCGGTACCAGTGCCCGCTGGAGCGCTCCGAGCGCTGTGCGCTGGCGAGGCGCGAGGCTCGCTCTCTCACTCCCTCCCGGCTCTAGTCCCACCTTCTCCTCCTCCTCCCCCTGCAGATGCCTGCTGGGCTTTGTAGTTCTAGAGCCTCGGCCCGGGAGCCGCCCGGAGCCCGCTGAGGTGCTCTGAGCTCTGACGCTCCTTTTCTGCAGTCGGGTCTGCATCTGAGTGTGAGCATGCCCCTCCATCCGAGCACCGCCTGGGAGGGCGCCCGAATTTTAGGCAGTGGACGGATTAGCAGTTTGGAGGGTGAAGTGAGAAAACGCTGTCGCCCAACGTTGTACATGGCAGCACGGGCTTTGGAGTCTTTGTGCTTGGAGGATATAATAGTCTTGCTCTATGTCTCATTTTTCTTATCTGTAGAAGGGGGATAATAGTACTTTGCAAGGAGTTGAGGATTAAAAGAAGGCCCGGTATACGGTTACTCAATAAATGAAATTTTTTTTTATTCATGAGAAGGTCGACCCCCCTCCTAAGACCCTTCCCTTCCATCTCATTTTCCCCAGCTACATGGGTTAGGTTTTGTGGTCCATGGAAAAGTGGGTCCTGTACATTCTGCAGCGCCATTCTTGGCCTTTAGAAGTCTCCAGCCTTCGGTTAATGTTTCAGAAGCAAAGAGTGAATGGGAAGAGTTGAGGGGTGGTGTTGGTTTGGAAATGAATCAGAGCCCACCCAGAACACACTCCAGTACTCTGTGGAACCCTAGGGAAAGTGTCTAAAACGCCCTTGGCCCTGGATCCTTCCACTGAGTGGTACAATCTACCGGTTCCCTAACCCAAATAGACATGAATCCTTTGGGGAACTTCTGAAAATTACAAATTCTTGGACCTGTTCAGAATCAAGGAAGCAGACTGTCCCAGGAAGAAGCAGAGTCGGTATTTTTTCTACAGTTCCCATGGTGCCAGGTTGGGGATCACTGGTAGGGTAAGAAGTATGTCACATTAGATATAAAAGATAATCTCCATTCTGGTCCCCTACTTATGAACTCTTTGATTTTGTTTAAGCCACGCATCTGAAAAAATCAAGACTTATTTGCATATTACCCCCAGTTGTTTGGGACTCCTTTACAAGGTTGTCATGAGAATCAAATTAAATAAAATAACAGATGTCAGTGGACCAAAAATGTTCCACAAATAGAAGTTGCTATGTGAGTTAATGGTCGGGCCTGTTCCCTTATCCTCATTCCACCTAAATACATAAGGTTGTAGAATCTTGAATACTGAACAAGTTAACTCCCTTCTCCCTCAACTTAAGGAAAGAGTCTCTAAGTTATTTCTCTATTTGACCAGCAGGTGAAAGAATAGTGACCAACACAGTGCCATTCACAGAGTAGGAGCTTGATAAATGTTTATTGACTGACCAAACAGTAAATATTCAATAAATACTTATTGAATGAATGAATAAATTCAAAACTAAATAAAATGCAGGAACTCACATGTTTGTAGAATAAATGAACTCCAGCCATCTTTTCTAGTGTTATTCCCTCTATAGGCCTCTCTCTCCACCCTTCAACCATTTGGCTCCTGATCAGGCTCTGTGTACACCCTCCCCATTTAAGCTGCCCACCCATTAGGCCTCCTTCATTTAATTTTTTTTTTTTTTTTATCCTCACCCGAGAACATTTTTGCATTTATCTTCAGATAGAGTGGGAGGGAGAGAGGGAAGAGGAGAGAGAGAGAAACATTGATGTGAGAAAGACACCCACACGACTGGCTGCCACCCACATGACCCCAACCGGGCAGGGGACAAACTGCAACTGAGGTACGTGCCCTTAGTGGGAACCGAACCCAGGACTCTCTAGTGTGCAGGCCGACGTTCTAACTGCTGAGCCAAACCAGCCAAGGCAGGTTTCCGTCATTTAAAAGAAATGCTTATTCCAGGCCCGTAAGAAGGCCAAACTCATGCCCCTCTCCCTTGGAGGCCTTCCTTGCCAATCCTAACACTGTTAGTCCCAGGAACCCCTACTGACCCTCTGGTATATCTCACTGATTTGATATTGAGCATAACTTTGTTAGTTGTCTTTTTTACTCTTTCTCTTAACTGGCTCCTAAACTGTAGTAGGGCAAGGATTTCATTTCTGTATCTGACCTAGGTCAGGACTACTCTGGAGGTGTTTCATACATATTTGTTGTTGGTGAATTTCATGAGGGTGACAAGAGGAAAAAATACAATTTGAGGGAAGATGATTGGAAAGATAAGCCATGGAAAATACAGCATTTAATGTCAACATCTAGCTACTATTTTCCCACTTTATTACTAAAAGAGACTATATCACTCTTCCTCTCTATGGTTCTAAAACAAGGGGTTTAAATTTTTTTTTTTTTTTTAATCCTCACCAGAGGACATTTTTGCATGTATCTTCAGATAAAGCAGGAGAGAAGGAGGAAAGAGAGAGAGAGAAACATCGATCTGAGAGAGACACATCAAGTGGTTGCCACCCACATGACCCCAACTGGGGCAGAGACAAACTGCAACCGAGGTGCATGCCCTTAGCGGGAAAGGAACCCGGGACTCTCTGGTCCTCAGGCCAATGCTCTAACCTGAGCCAAACTGGCCAGGGCAAACAAGGGGTTTTAAATGTAGCTCTATTTCTTTTTATTTGGAAGCATTTTAGGAGTATCTTGAACCTGAAAGAGGAGGCTGAAGAATGTGTCCTCAATTTAAACAGAAAGAATGATCTAAATGTTTGCCTGTTTGGAGTTAAGGGGCCTAGAACTGATGCCGAACAAATTTCTCTATAGATTTAGCAAGAAACCAAAATAAAAGCAAGTGGTCCACTTGATAGCTCTCCCTCCCCCAATTCTCAGGGAAACAGCCAAAGACAGAGAAATGGAGAAGGTGAGAAACGCAGAGAAGGCATGGGCCATCCACAGACCACAGACAGGGCTCCTGAATAATTGAGGGCTGCCTGCTTTTATCCTTCCAGCCTCACTCCCCTTCTGTGCTGCTCCTCCCCCTCCTCTTTCTGAAATGCAGACCCTCCATTTGGGGATAGGCCCCAGGTCAGTGCAGGGAGAGGATCCCCAAGGCAGTCCTGAACAGCTCCAGGCAGAGGAGGTCAGACAATCGCTCTGCCTGCCTCTGTCCTGCTCGGAGGCCTCCTGGCACCTTGCCTCCCCACACAGAAATGTAATCTTCCCTCTGAGATAACAAAGAGCTGGGAGGGTCAGGGAGGATTTGTAGGCCCCTTGCCCTGCCAGCTAGATGTCTGAGGGGGAGACAAAAGCCCTCATGCTGGAGGACCTGATAACCAGTTGGGGGCCTGTTGCCTCCTGGATCTGTGGGAGGAGGGACTGGTGCTGAATGAAACAGAGGGAAACGGAGCTCTCCCCAAAGCCCGATCAGTTCTCTTTGTTTGAGAACACTGCAGAAAATCTCTTCCTTCTTCCTCCAGACTCCTTGTCCTCAGAGTTATTCCTCTCTTCTGGTGCTCCTCTGCTCCATCTGAGTTAAGCTATTTCACTGCCCAGCTGTTCCCACCCCCCTACACTGGATTGGTACTGTAGAGTTAACAACTCCCTGTTACAGAAGAAGTGGGGGGAGATAATCAGTACCTCTACTGGGCAAAGCTGGGCCACAGAGCTGCTCCAGACAGCTTTGGGAGTCCCTCAGATTTCTGGGAACCAGCAGAGACTCAGCTGATCTGAGATCTGGTTGTGGGAGGTGATTCAGGAGGAGGGAACTGTCTGGGCTTTTCCCTACAAAGTGGATGTTCACAGGTCCCTGGGAGCAGGTGGGCGGCCAAGCCTTTTGCCTCAGGCCCCTGGAGTTAGGGAGCAGCAGTCAGTTACCATCTGGCTGCCATTTGGTGACCCCTCGCTGTTCTCAGCACAGCTTCAGTGTATCAGGGAAGGGAGGGCCTTGTTTGGCGTGGTGTTTTTGTAAATAACATTTCACTCTCTCCTACCAACTGGGAGTGGGGAAGGGAGCTCAGAGCTCATAGTAGTGGCAGCTCTGCTAGTCTGGCCCTAATGCAGCATTTATTCACTGAGCATTGGGGGAGAGGCACACTTTTCATGTGTCAGACACTACGCTGGACACAGTGAACCCAAAGACGAAAAAACAAGGGTGCAGACTGGGGAGCTCACAGTCTGGAGGGAGAGAACAGACATTGCAAATCATGCCAGACCATGGGCACCTGAAGAGCATTTCGGGAGGAGAGATCAGGAAAGGAGACAACTCAGAGGAACTGATGGCGAGTCTTGAAAGATGACAAAGAGCATATGAATATCCACAAGCTCATCTGGGATAATTGAGGAAGGCAAGGCTGGAGAGTACAAGTGGGGTATTGAAGCTTCAGTATTCTCTTACTCTGAAGGGATGAACTCAGTGCTTGGCACATAGTAAGTGCTCAATAAATGGTAGCCGTTGTTGCTTCATTTTAGCTCAGGAACTTTCCTTGGCCCAAGACACCTGTTTTGGAACCTACTTTCCAGGTAT